TGGCTAACAAACCCCACTTCCAACAGCAGCCTATTTCCAATGAGCCAACTTCTTTCTTCTATTAATGCTACATGCATTTATTCTTTGTGCATCTAGGTCCATTTACAGTGCTCATACCTCAATGCGCTTGGCCTGAGTTTCACTAAAAAAGAAACACTGGCAACTGACTGGCCAGAAAGGGAATATGCCCTCCTGGATCAAAATGTGCAGCTCATGTCCCATTCCCACAGCTTGAATACTTCCGCATTTATGAACAGCTCAGTAAAATACAAGTAATAGCTTCCATTTGTATGCGCTATATTCCAAACACTGCCTCACAAAGTCATATGATCAGAGTTCTGGCTTGCTAAACAGTAATAATAACTTGCCACTTCTTTAAATGAGCCTATGGAAGACTTACAATCTGATGAGCCATGTAAACAGACTGAATAGCCTCACACCAGTTGTGCATCCAAGCATCTTAGGGGGAATAGGAGTCATATTGCATCTTTTGACTATGGAATCCTCAGAGCAGGAGCTAATCCCATGTGCTTTTTAAATCAGATATGGGAGGTGTGTATTTGCAACAACCTCAGATGTGGCCTCTACACAGTTATGGGAGAGAGACCCTGATGAAGGGAGAACATGAAGAGGATTCTATACAGGCTATTAGATTTTGTTTAGAGTTAACTACAAACACTTCCAGATCTTGGCACTGCTGATCGCAGCATTCTGGGTAGAATGCATTTAGTGAAAACATGCCTGACTGTCATGGGCCATGCCAGCCCTGTGTGTACATGCAGGTGCACCTGCATGTACACTAGTCATTTTAGCTGTTCAGCTTTCTTCATTCGGAGAACTGGTTTGAGCTATATTACTGGGAAGGCTGCCAGATTACATCTACTGGCATACCTATACCAGCAAACCCTTTTCAGGGCAGACAAGGCCTGTAGCTCCAAACCTGTTTATGTGCTTGTGTTCCAGGACATGGGGCTGGGGGATAGGGAGGAGGCCCTTTTTCAAGTTAACAGCTTACACTAATGGATCATTAAGAAAATGCCAGCACACGTAGTGTCTCAAAAGCTCCCTCCTACTCTCCTTGATTATCCCTGAAACTGGTGTTGGCCAGCAAGAACCAGAGTCCCTCACACTGTAAGATCTGGTCTTGCTAGAAGGCAAATTGGTTCTATTCTATATCCATAAAATTAAGAGGAAAGCCTTTCTAACTTGGCATGTAGTGAAACGATTTATATGAGTGCGCCTTGGAGGCACAAGGTGGGTAGGGTAACAAGGTGGATAGGGTAACTACATATTGGTGAGAAGCTGTTTTAAAACCCTCTCATACATTTGTTTTGGCTAAAATTAATTCCTTAACAAACAGCCTTCGTGTAGGTTTCCGAAAGAACCACAGGTGGCTCCTCAGAGTGATAAACAGCTAGTATCCAGATCCCAGGTCCAAGTAGTGGAAAAATTGCAAAATCCCACCCTGAGACAGGTGAGGGAGAGGCGCCTATCACTGGGGGGGATTCACTCAGCTGGGAAAGGAGCGGTGCATGCTGTCAGACTGCCCTCTGGCTTTAGCTACTACAGTGCTAGCAGCATTAGGCGAGCGTACATGGTTTCAATGATAGAACACACAAAGATCACCTCTGCTTCAGCTAGCTTGTGAGCTAGAAGATATAATTTTTCCTTCCTAAGATTTCTCTACCTCAATGTTTATTTTGGCCAAAGGGTGGACACATGACCTTTCAGGTCATCAGTGGTACTGGTCAGCTCTGCACATGGTTCTCCCTGGACAACACATGTACAGACCTTATCTAGGCTAGGAGAAAAGGTGTTTGGTTTATAAAATGATACCGGCTCCATTTTAGACAACGCCAAAGCACTATCGAATTGTGAGCATTCATATCTAGGACATCCAGTTCCCACTAGCTAGCAAGGCAGTTTAAAACACAAGCTCCACCTCAGAGGTGAATATGCTACAGACAGTATTGCAGTGTTACATCTAGGGATGTAAAAGGTTAACTGGCAAGCTTCACCCTTAATGGGTGAGACTGACCAGTTCGGGTTAACCAGTAGGGGCCTTCCTCCCCTGCTGCAGGTTTCACGTTGGCTCACTGGCTGCAGGGCGGGAAGCCATTGCCAACCCCACTTCTGGAAAGGCCTCACTGCGGGCTCTGCAGTATAAAGCTTATTTAAGCTTCACACTGCAGAGCCTGCAGCGCGTCTAACTGCTAAGATTTTTAGTGGTTACAGAGTTACATTTTCACATCCCTAGTTACATCCATGATTGCTACAGAACCTGAATCCAAGGGTCACAGAGCTTTTGTAGAAGCCAAAACAATTCCAAATTTATATTCAGCTTTACCTTACTCTCCTCATTCAGGGAAGTGCTGGTTTAGCTATTCACAATCAATTTGTGCTCGGAAACGTAGCAAAAGTGGCTAAAAGCAGTAACTGAAGGACAGAAAAACATCAGTCTTGAAAATACGTTTAATGTCTAATCTTATACAAAAGTGACAGCATTTTCAAAAAAATATCAAATCCTGTTTTTATAGCCTTTCACTATCATACAGCAATATTTGTCTCATCTAAAGAAAATACAGCAGCAGGTGATAGTCTATACTTTTAAGGTGTGATTGCTTATATTTAATATTGTAAACAAATGCAGAATGTCAATCTCAAAGCACAAGTCAAAACAAACTTCTCAGCAATTTAACTTAAATGATGCATAGAAATTTACAAATTCCATCGCAAAAGCTTCAGGCCAGAAGTTGCTCACACTTGACAATACATGTGATAAAGTTACTACACAGTACATAGTGACAACTTGAGCTTTTACACAATAGATTAACAGGTAAAACCCTTTCACTGCTATGCAAGGAACCTTGCTCACAAAACAAAGGGGATATGAAACAGTTTTCATGACTTCAAGCAATATGAATATACATTAAAAGTGTCCCATATATCTGAATTTTAGCCTAACCTTTCCAATAACAAATCCTGCCTATTCCGGGAAGAACCCAGACATCTATTTTATTTACTTTTGATAATCCCAATTTAAAATCATTTCTACACCTAGTTTGTATTTGCTATATCTGGCCCTTCTCCTACAAACAGACCTAGACCAGTACATGTTCAATCCACGGTGTTGAAACTATAGGATCAATTCATTTAAATGAGCTAAGGAAAACATAGCTTAATGTACAGACTAAGGCTGCAGATGTCAAATGCAGATGCAGTCAAAGCAGGTTTGCTAGTCACGTGTACAAAGTCATGAGTCTTGGAGAAATTTAAGCCCATTCAACAGTGAATTTTTGAAGTGTACATTCTATAGGAATAGCATGCTGCATTAAATTTATGAAAGATCCTATTTAAAAATATTTCTTCTGGTTCTGATTTCCAGTGTTCATAGATTCTATGATTTATGCTGAATATTAGGGACAAGTCTTAGTTTGTGATCAACCAATATTGCCTACCTAGTTTAAAAACATACCTACCTTGGCTATTTATCAGACCTCAGGTCAGTATGCTGGAATGGCCACCATTCCTTCACAGGTGGTGCTATTCAGTACAATTCTGCTCCTGGAGGCTAAGCCTGTTTCCAACGTCACTATCGGGCCACTAAGTTTATTTTTAAAAGTCCACTACTCTGAGCATGCAGGAGTCCATAAGAAGGGAGGGAAGAGAAAGGTACCTTGATTTCACAGTTCCACTATGCAAAGGGATTTCTTAACGAGCTGATGTATTACTAATTCTGTTTTTTAATTCCACCAACAGAGGCTAAATAAGACTTCCCTAGCTGAGATCAAATAACTTCTGCATGGTCCAAGAGTCTAGGTAATCAAAGTACCATGATAAATTTAAAAGAGCCCAAGTCTTAGTGAACAATGTCTTGGTAATGCAAAACTATCTTCATGGTAATTCCCTAAAGATTCTCTGTCAGAATGAAATGGACAGCAGTGATCATCCAGATGAAAGACACAGAATGCAGAATCTTAGTTATTCAATTAAAACCACCTAAGAGCAGGTCATTCAGTAAGGTACAACATACACCTAGGTATGAACAAAGGGACTACCCAGTTACTATGTTCAGTGGAGCTCTGACATAAAACCAGCTCATTTCCAAAATATGGCTGAAGAGAGATGTATTCTAATGATCTAGCTAGATGAAAGGACTATGTGGGAATGTCAAAAGCCACTGGACTACATTAATTTGAACTCAGGCTTAATTTTCAAACATGCAAATTGAGTTTATACATCTTGGCAGCAAAGCCAAATTTCAGATGGCTAGAACCCAAGTTAAGAGAAAGGATTATCTCCCAGTTGGAAGCAGTTTATCTTTAAAGGGAGAACAAGCAAAACTTCCAGTCACTACTATTAATTTTGGGCTGGCAAAATGATACCCTCATTTTCACGTACAAACCTCACATTTGTGGATTTAAATTGATTGAACTGCACATCCAGCTACTTGATTTGCACACAAATGCCTGCTCGCAAATGTGGACAGGTGTGCAAACGTGTTAGACTAAGACTTCTGCCTTTTAACTGCTCAGCTGTAGTCCCAGAATCCAAGAGAAACTGTGCTTGAGTGTGTGTATTTATATATATGCTGAGAATGCCTTCAAATTCACATGCTTCATTTCTCTTTAGTATGCTGAATTACTGTAGCATGTTTAAAAATACTTGAGACTTCACAAAGAAATCTCAAAAAAAGCCTATTGTTTTTACCAATATTCTGGAATAACCTGAAAATAGACAAAATATGACTATCCATCCATTTAGTGACCACCACAAATCTGATAAAAAAAACTTAAAGCATTCACTGACACTTTATGTTGAACTTTTCAGTAAGCCTGATCCTGTAATCCTTACTCACTTGGCAACTCTCTCTTTCCCCCAAAGGAAACTCTGCCTTATGTAAAAAACACAGGATTTGGCTTGGTCTGTTCATCCTAATTCACTTTAATAAAACAAAAGATGCCAGCATATGAGCAAGTTAAATTTATGCAGATTGCTCTTTCATACCTCAGAAGTACATACAAGAGGCGAGTGCGCTTCACAATTCTCCAAAAGTTACTGAAACAAAAAATTTAAAAATCTCTGTAAATAGTGGATGAAGGTGGAAAGCTACAGTACTTTGTTGCCCAGCATGAATTCAACGGTAAGGCTGTAAAAAATTAAAACATAAAATTCAAAGTCAATGTATAGCTTTAAGCAAGACAATACATCGTCAAATCAGCACTAAGCAAATGTCTCAACTAAAGGCACGGACAAATTTAAGTGTACAAGTCAGCTGTTAATAGGTTTTTTTTTTAAGCTGGTAGTTCTACATTCTAAGACTATATCTACCCTAGAAACCTTACAGCAGCAAAGCTGTACCCATGTTGCTTTGCCACTATAATGTCTCCCATGTAGCCACTCTATACCAATGGGAAAGAGCTCTCCATTTGGCATAATTAAACCACTCCCAATGAGCAGCAGTAGCATCTTCAGTGGACATAGAAGCACTGGTGTATTCAGCACTGTCAGTGAAACTTATTGTGGGAGGTGTCCCCCCCCCACCCGAGTGACATAAGTTTTACCCACAAGAGTGCTCATGTAGGCATAGCCTTAGAGTCTAGTCTGTCTAGAAATAATTATTTCATTCTCTTGTTTGAGCAAGGCAATATAGCTGCATGCTCATGTTTAGAAAGCAAATCAAAACTATGCTTAACATGGAAGTATTTCTGGAAGGCCCATAAAAATACAACCCTAAAGACAACTATCATATCTCTCAGGTTTCATAGCATTTCAAATCAGAGTATGTCAATACTTTTAACTCCCCATGACTACAAAATTCCTATTAAACCAGTGCCTGGAAAAGTTACATAGCAGTCCTAACAGTCCATACAATTTGATTAAGTGGCGCTTCCACTGCCCAACATGAGTACTTATGTGTGATGAATTTTGGAACCGTTCAACAAAGCTCAATTTAAATACTCACATGGTGACCACCAGGCATTGATGGAGCACCAGCAGGACCAGATGGCACTTGAAAAGGATTAGGGGGTGTAGGATATAGTCCTGGAGCTGGATATGATCCTGTGGGTGGTGGAAATGGACCTGGTGGTGAAGGTCCCCATGTTCCAGGTGGGACAGTACCCCATGGCACTGTAGGTGCAGCCCCTGGCGTCTGGGTAGGAGTGGCATATGGCCCTGGGGGTGGATATGGCATACTAGGTGCATGATACTGCCCTCCCATTGTTGATCCCCATGCTCCAGAGGGCATGGATCCCCATGGCCCAACAGGAGCAGGAGGTGCAGCTGGCTCTGTTGGACCACCATATGGTCTTGGAAGCTCTGGAAAGGGCATATTTGGTGGAGGATATTGCCCAGGTGGGACAGGACCTGGCACAGATGGGGGTGGATATGGACCACTGGGAGGAGGGCAAGAGGGTCCAGTAGGAGGAGGTGGAAATGGAGCAGGCGGTCCAGGGGGCATTGAAGGATACATTCCTGTCGGGGGCGGTCCAAATGGCACGCTGGAAGCGGATGTATTTGGTGGCAATCCAGATGGGCCTGTCGGTGGAGCACTTGGGCTGTTCCAAGGATTGGAAGCTGGCCAGCCTTGTGGTTGTTGACTAGGTTGTTGACCAGCTTTTGCATTGCTCACATTGGAGGTTTTAGCAGGTGAATGATCCGGTAAAGCATCTGCCAACTAGAAAATAAAGCACCAATGAGACTGCAAACGGCCTAATATTGAAATCACTCACTGTGCATAGCAATTCATTACTAACCGTATACAACAACGTTAGGTAAAGCTACATTAGCTCTTGCACGGTGGTGCTTAATTTCACCTAGCTTCTCTTCAGAATAGAAGTCAAGAGGTTTTATAGCTACAGCATGTCAGAATACAAAACAAAAGGAGAGCTACCATATATGGCAATAAGCAAATGTTTCCGTGCAAAGTCAGAGAGAAGGGTCTTTAAGCATCTTCCACATAGGTACCTTGAGGGCAGCATGTTAGAATTAGATTGTAATGAACTCAACCCTGACAAGGAGACCATCTCACAGTTTAGTATATTTAGCTCTGTGGACTACCCTACTCACTACAGGACCAAGAAAAATACCCCCCCATTTTTTCTTAAATAACTGTCTGTAACAGGGAATCAAGCTGCTTGACTAAGCAATTTAAGAAAGAAATTTGTTTACTTACCGAAAAGTCATCAGCTCCAGACATTTTTCTGAAACATAAAAGAAAGTTGGTTGAAACAAAGTATTTCAAGCAAGAGCTTGTAAGGAAGCTAATTCCTGCCTATTTCTTTGGGTTCACTGCACACAACAGTTCTACTCTACTATAGGTCAGTGTTTCTCCAACCATGGCTTTGTTATGATTTAGAGCTGAACAGATATCCATCTGTTACCAGGACTAACTAAGGCAGTTCTTTCATGTGTGAAGAGTTTGTTAGTAAGACTTCTGTCTACATCAGGGGCACATGGTGTGCAGAGAACACATGCCCCCCAACACACACACACACACACACACACACACAGCGCCAGTTGCACTGAGTGGTATACACAGGTGTAGCAGGCAGCCTGAGGGTCTTGCTGGGCTGCTGGCTGGGAGCCATCTAAGAAAGCATCTCCTGGCCAGAACCTGCACTTGGCACCACAACGCCTTGCTCCCCTCCTCGATCCTGAACCCTCTGTGCTAGATGACAACAAAAACCTATCTGCACCCGTGCTCCTACACCCATACCTCCTCCCAGACTCTACACCCCAATGCCCTGCCCCACTTCACAACCCCCTCCCAGGCCCTGCATCCCTCCTCCAGGTCAGAATCCTTTCCTGCACCCAAACACACTCCTGAACCCCACAGCCCTTCCTGAAACCCAATCCTCTACCCAAGCTCCCTTCTGCACCCAACCTCCTTTCCAGACCCTGCATCTCCATTATTATGATGCAAGAATGTGGCCCTTGACCACTTATCAAAGTATTGGAGTGCCTCCCCATCAAAAATTATTGCCCACCCCAGTCTATGTTAGTTCCAGCATATCAGGGACCCAGTCACAACATGGTAGATGGGACCTACCTATGCTGTAACTGGATCATATCACCAGAGCTTAAAAAGTCCCTGTGCTCATGATAAGTTGGAAGCTGCTACAGGCAAGTGCCCTCAGTTTCTGCAGAATCTAAACTCTCATTTTAAGTAGCATTACATTTGTGAAGACAACCTTCAAAATATGAACAAACCGATGCTGTCTTTGTGTCTAAAGACAAACCATTCCATTGTATACAGCTGCTCAGAACTCTCTCAAGCTGCAGAAGGGTGAACACCGAGCCACCTTGTCTGTTTTTACTGCTGCTATTTGGAACAGCATGGGCAAAAGTGAGATGAATCAAAACAGTTACAGTCCGCTGCTTGGGCAAATTGAAGGACTGCAAAGGCTGGCCCTTGAGCTCCTAATGGAGGATGCTCACAAACAAAGGAGGTGCAAAGTAATGGAGATACCGTGTGGCCACCAGAAATCTCAAGGGACAGAACGCTTAGCAGTTGCCACTTTATCACTGTGGCCAAAAGGCTAAGGGAGGAGTAAAGTAGCGGAGGTTCAAGAGTCTGTAGTGTAAACCTGACCTTTGTATCAATCTCTGGCTAGTAGATTTAATCTTCTGGCTAGTAGATCTCCAATTAACCTTTAAATCCTATGGTGCAAAGATAGGTATGAAGTGGGAAGGAGTGAACTGGAGAGGCTAGAAGAGCATTTTCTTATCTATTTTGACCTGAAGAGAAGTAGAGATTTGTGGGAGAAATTACAATATAAAACCTAAAGGAAGAAAAGAAATAAGACCTCCATGTGGAGAGGGCCGATAAAGAAAAGTTATTTATTAGTTCCCTAAATAGAAGAACTAGAGGACACCAAATGAAATTCATAGAATCATAGGACTGGAAGGGACCTCGAGAGGTCATCGAGTCCAGCCCCTCGCCCTCAAGGCAGGACCAAGCTCCGTCTACACCATCCCTGACAGATGTCTATCTAACCTGTTCTTAAATATCTCCAGAGAGGGAGATTCCACCACCTCCCTTGGCAATTTATTCCAATATTTGACCACCCTGACAGTTAGGAATTTTTTCCTAATGTCCAATCTAAACCTCCCCTGCTGCACTTTAAGCCCATTACTCCATGTCCTGTCCTCAGAAACCAAGAGGAACAAATTTTCACCTTCCTCCTTGTGACACCCTTTTAGATATTTGAAAACCACTATCATGTCCCCCCTTAATCTTCTTTTTTCCAAACTAAACAAGCCCAGTTCATGAAGCCTGGCTTCATAGGCTTCTCTAGACCTTTAATCATTCTTGTCACTCTTCTCTGTACCCTTTCCAATTTCTCCACATCTTTCTTGAAATGTGGCGCCCAGAACTGGACACAGTACTCCAGCTGAGGCCTAACTAGTGCAGAATAGAGCGGCAGAATGACTTCACGAGTTTTGCTTACAACACACCTGTTGATACAACCTAAAATCATATTTGCTTTTTTTGCAACAGCATCACACTGTTGACTCATATTCAACTTGTGGTCCACTATGACCCCTAGATCCCTAAAGGAACAATCAGTTCCAAAGTGGAGCACTTTGCATTTCTCTTTATTAAACCTCATCCTGTTTACCTCTGACCATTTCTCTAACTTGCTAAGGTCATTTTGAATTATGTCCCTATCCTCCAAAGAAGTTGCAACCCCACCCAGTTTGGTATCATCTGCAAACTTAATGGGTAGCAGGTTTAAAACAAATAAAAGAAAGTTCTTCACACAGCGTGTAGTCAACCTGTGGAACTCCTTGCCAGGGGAGGCTGTGAAGGCTAGGACTATAATAGAGTTTAAAGAGAAGCTAGATAATTTCATGGAGATTAGGTCCATAAAAGGCTATTAGCCAGGGGATAAAATGGTGTCCTTGGCCTCTGTCAGAGGCAGGAGAGGGATGGCAGGAGACAAATCGCTTGATCATTGTCTTCGGTCCACCCGGTGCTGGCCACTGTCAGTAGACAGGATACTGGGCTAGATGGACCTTTGGTCTGACCCAGTACTGCCATTCTTATGCCAACTCATGTTTTATTATAGAAATGACTAAGGGAAGTCAATCTGGAAAGAGAAAAAAAATAACCAAAAGCAAAACCAAAATAAATAGAATTGGCTGAACAGTATTCATCAAATATCATTGGTATTTTTCAAATTGTACATTCAACTGTTTTGCACTATTTAACCAAAAACTATTTCAGAAGTTAGTTGAACATCTGTAAAATTAGTCAAATATAGTCAATGAATATTTTTCTGTGGTGACTGACAATGTTACCATTAAAAACAATACATAGTTGTTTTATTCCTTTAAATTACAGAGGAACACAACCTGATGTGAGGTTTTAACAACAATTTTTACTTTGGCAATGGACCCAGTATGACCATTCTTATGTTTCAATTAAGCCAGATCAATTTGAGAGTGCCTCATTTAAAGTGTTTTTTCCTTCATACTCTTCATAGATGCTTATAACTAGCTAGATGCAGTGGAGTTATAGCCATGTTGGTTCCAGTGAGACTAGTGGATGAGGTAATATTTTTATTGCACCATCTTCTGCTGGTAAGAGACCACTCTTCCTTGAATGGTCCTTTAGAATACATGCTAGCTATGTTAAACAGTCTTTTCCACCTTGCATTTAGCGGTGATCCTCTGAGTACCTTTGAGGCCTGAAAAAGCTATGGTTCAAGAGCTGGTCTCTCACCAACAGAAGTTGGTTCAATAAAAGATATTACCTCACCCAGCTAGGCTCTCTACAGCTAGCTCGATTCAATCGTGGAACGTACTTTTGTTTAGCAACATCCAATAATTCCACTTTAAAGTTACCCGGTACTGCTAGCCATGGGCTCAAAATTACATGGATTTGCAGCAAATGAGATGCTGACTTCATTTTATGAAAAGGGAGTGGTTTACAGTAAATGGAATCTCATTTTCCTGTTGAAACCAGCTATGTTGCTATGCATTTCCTAGGAAAACATTATACCTCTGCTATCACTTAAGAGAACAAAAATGAAGACAATTAATTTAACTGACATGAATTTTGCACAAGAATTTGGAAGATGAACTATTCTATTTAAAATGCTTCTTTTGGGGGATAAGGAGTTATTCTGGTTAAAGGGCTTGACAGGGAGTTGGGATGATTACAGAACTATAAGAAATAAAACCTAAGTCACACTTCCCTCCCTTTGGAGAAAGGCAAAAGGCCCCTATCTCTGGAAACACCCTCCATGTTAGTTCCATGCCCTGCTCCAACAGATCCAGCAGCTTTGAGACACCAAATCTCAGCAGCCTTTATCTCCACATATGCTCAAGACTAGGGATGTAAAAGAGCAGACGAATAGTCAAGGCTTATCAGGTAGTCAAGTCGACTACTTGCATTTCCCCCTCCTGCCCTCCCTTCGCTGCCCTGTCCCTGTTTGTGGGGGGTCACAGCCAGAAGTTGGGACCTCCCACTCACAGGGTTGCTGCCAACTGGGCAGGCAGCCCTGCTCAGTCCCTGCTTGTTCCAGGTGTGGGACCAAACGCGGCTGTGGCTCTGCAATTTAAAACACAATAGGAGCTGGGGGCAGGCAGCCTTTTAAATGTAGTAAGAGTGGCCCAGCTCTTATTACGTTTATAAGGCAGAGGCTCAGTGTAGGACCCAGCACTGGGTCCAGACCACTGCAGCTCACTGCAGAGGTGAGGCAAGCAGAAATCCCAATACGGAGGAAAAGAATGGGGTAGAAATATGAAAAGAGAAGTAAGAAACTTGCATGCCTGTATAGTTCAGTCTTCTTTGGGAGACACTTATTTTGGCCAAAAGCCCAGACCACTGCAGCAGCTCTGCCTTTTAAATGTAGTAAGAGTCAGGCAGCTTGCACCAGGTCACAGACCTACTCCCACTGTGGCTCTGCAGTTTAAATGCAGTCGGAGCCGGGCTGCTGCACACCCGGCTCCTACTGCATTTAAACTGCATAGCCACAGCGGCCCCTTACTGACTAATCATGTACTTGATTAGTCATTTACTTGATACTTAACATCCTTAGTCAAGACTCAGTGAATCAGGTGAAGGGAGATGGATAGAAGTCAGCATGTATACAAAATTTTTATCCGCATCTGTATCTGCAAAAAACAAGCCACAGCTATCCACACCCTTACCTGTGGATATCCAAGGATTTGCAGGGCTCTAGAGATGAAGCTGCCAGAATGGCCTGTGGAAAGAATCTGAACCTGAGCATAGTTACCACAACTCTGTTACACCAGCATCCAGGCTAAGCACAGAGCCTGCTAGATGCTCCTACTGCT